CAGGTGATAAACAGAGCTGGTCAGGAATTTTTTGACTAAATTCTGTTTCATCAGAAAATGCTGATTTGTCAAAACTGAAACCTGTTTGTGGGGAAAGGCTCGGCTTTGACAAATTTCTTGTTTTGAAATTTTTTTTTGAAAAAAAAAATCAACTTTTGAAATTGTCGAATGTCCTGGTTTGATACTTGTGAAATGAAAAGTTCTGGGGTTCAGTTGGGAATGACATTTTGTTTAAAAATTTAAGTTAATTTGTAATTAAAAAAAAAAAAAGATGAGGACGAAACATTTCAATTGACACTAACCAGTTTTGGTTGTTTCGGGGGGATTTTCGGTTTGTGAAAAACATTTTGTCCCAATTGACGACAGGAATTTTTTTTTTGAAATTTTGAAAATTTTTCTGGGTTGGGAAAACAGTTTGCTGCCTACTCTAGTGACAAATAACATGCACTGGGCAGGGATCCACGCTCTTGCCAATGCTGAATTCACCTTTTTGGAAAGAGATTGCAGTGTGTTCATGCTGTGCTGGACATTTTGAGAGAGTGTAACCTTCCATCAGATCTCCAGCATCCCACCTCCCCAGTGACATGACACAACACACACATGTGTTAACACTACTTTGAGAATCGAAGGCCAGATTTTCTAGCCAGGCTGTTCGAGAAAGTTTTCATTTGCTTCTTCCTGCTTAGGAGGAAAGAAGCCACATGCTCAGGGTTTGTCTACACTGCAGTCTGAGGTGTGGTGGCAGCTTGGGCAGACGTACTTATGCAGCCTGACTAAAAATGGCTGTGTATACATGGGGGCACAGGCTAGCAACATAAATCCATACCCGGGGGGCTTGTACCATTTACACCACCACATCTACACTGCTATTTTTAACCATGCTTGGGTAAAGCTAGCCAAGCTGCACTCACACCTTGGATTGCAGTGTAGACATTATACCCTCCATCATCTAGGACCATGGGCCATGGCTTTGAGTTAACAATAATGGTTTCCTCTCTGTGAAATCCCAGTTGAATTCCCACATAGCCAAGTTCAAGAGTTGCCTTCCTCTCCACCTGATTTTTTTTCACCGCTGAATGCAGTTGCTTTATGCATTTGAAGCTTTTTAAAAACATCGGTCTGACAGCGAGCGGGGTCATGTCTAGTTGCTGGCGTCTCGGGCGAGAGAGCTGTAGTTTTTTTTTTCCTCCTCTTTTTAAAAAACGCTTTGCTCAAGTGGTATGAAGAACTCGATCTCTGAAATACCACACAGCTTCAGTCTTTGGGGCTATGGGGACCAGATATTTGGTAACGGGCTCTCCAACCTGGCAGACAAAAGAATAACAAGATTCAACGGCTGGAAGCTGAAACTAGACAAATTCAGACTGGAAATAAGGTGTAAATTTTTAAAGGGGGGAGTAATTAACCATTGGATCCATTTTCCAAGGGTTGTGGTGGATTCTCCATCGCTGGTCATTTTTAAACAGATTGGATGTCTTTCTCAAACAGATGCTCTAGTTCAAAGGCATGATTTTGGGGAAGTTCCTTGGCCAGGACAGCGAATTAGATGATCACAATGGTCCCTTCTGGCTTTGGAATCAATGAATCTAGGTTGTGCACCTGCCCCACAGCAGAAAACTCAGAACAGTCTTGTACAGAGAGATGGGGGCTGATGCTCAGCACCTTGCAAGATTCAGGCCTTACATAACATGAGAGTCCTTAGCTCTTCTTCAGGTCTGTGTGGCTTGAAAGCGTGTCACTTTCACCAACTGAAGTTGGTCCAATAAAAGATATCACCTCGCCCACCTTATCTCTCTAAGACACCCTCCTCCCCTGCCCCACCATGGCCACAACAACACTGCAAACAATATTGAATCCTTCTCCCCTAGGTCTTCTCACAAAGGTGCCAAGGAGCACCAGTCATCTAAGTGCTGTGGATATTTGCCATCTAAGAACCAACAACTCAATTCATGTAGATCACCGAATACCCATGAGATCATAGAATCATAGAAGGTCAGGGTTGGAAGAGACCTCAGGAGGTCACCTAGTCCAACCCCCTGCTAGATGATAACAGTTTTTGCTCGCTGCCAATTTGGGCTGGCTCTGAATGAGCAATAGGCATCTCATTCTGCTGCTAATCCCCTGAGGCCCCCAGCCCATTTGTGTAACACATTGTGCTGCTGCTTATCCGGAATAACACCAAAGATCAGAAATAGAACCAACTAAATCTACTTATCAAGGGCCTGATCTAATGAAGACACATTTACTCCGGTGGGCTTTGACTCAGGCCCTAAAGGACATAATACGTGTGCAGAAAAGTGGCTGAACATCCATCCTCTTCAGTGGAGTTTGACCACTTCCACCAGAATCTGGCCACAACATGTAATGCACAAGTGCTAGTGGTTTTGACATCAATGCAGGAGTTACATTTTTGTGTGTCATCTAACAGTGTCTTTATCCTTATGGGACTCTATATCTATTTTATTAAGACCCAAGCTTGTACCTGTTGAAGGCAATGGCAAAATTCCCATTTGATTTCAATGGGAATCGAATCTGCTATATTAAGAGTGGCAAGTGCTTTCCCTTCTTCTCCCTCCCGTGATGTATTACTTGGGTGAAATTCTGATCTCATTTCCAGCTCTTTGAGTAGCGTTAGAATTTAGCGTCTTGCATTTAGCTATGTTTTGTGCAATTCTGTGATAATCACAGAACATGAAAGCAACAAAACTAAGAAATGTTTTGTTCATTAAAGAGGCTACAAATGAAAACTCCTCTCCCTTAATACATCATGGATTTGGCCCGTTCCCCGTCCTGTTTCCTCCATGTAAAGAGACAATGTGGATTCTCTACAATCCAATCCACGCAGGGCAGCATCTCTCTCGTTTTTAAATCCTATGCCTCATCTAAGGGGGGAAACATCAATCTACTACACAGGTGCAGCAAATATGCCTGAGTCAGCATCAGTTGATGACTTCGGTTTTACCCCCGGACATGGTCTGCATAATGGAACATTGATTTATGGAATAAAGGTGAAGAAATCAATTGGAAGCAGCCAAGCAGCTGACAAACAGAATGCTCTGCAGGGTGGGGACAAAGCAGGATGAGCAGTGAAGTGTAAGAGACGGAGAGTGAATCCTTTCTCTCTATATTTTCCAATGACTCACTTCAGTTTCATGCTGAATTCAGCTAATTTGCATTTACAAATCTTCTGTCCTTGAAAACCAGAAATGGATTCGAAGCGCTGCTCCTGCGCTTTCCTTGGCCGTCAGGTCCCGCACCTCCCTTCCCCCAACACAGAAGATAACACCTTTAAAAAAAAAAGTCCTGGCTGCTTTTGGAGCTGGATCTACTCTGACTCGCACCAGCATGAACTGGGCATTACTGCACTGAAATCAATGGAGTTATATCCGTGTAAAAGTCAGTCTGAGTTCAGAATTGGGCCTCTTTTGTGCCGGGTGCCCCACCAGCAACAGACCTGTGCCTTTGTAGCTCTGCTTGTATACCTGCCCTGCTGTCCCACCGCTCTGCTGCTCTGCACTAGCAGAGAACTAGTAAATGTCAGTAAATCTTACAAAACAGAGTAAGAAGGCAGGTCCTGACAGCTGTGTATGTTCTGGTGTTACCTGCATCAGCAGGCAGAGCAGCCAATCAGCACGGCACATGCAAAAACAAAACAACTGCAGGATTGACCCTCATTTACATCTGTATAACCCTGTTGGATCTGGAGGTCTCTTTAAAGCAGAGATGGGCTGAAACCACACTATTTCAATCATGAGCTCAAACTAACCCAAACTGCAAGGACTTAGACCTAGGATTTTGGTTCAGCCCAGTGTGAAGAGAGCGGTCATTTAAAGAATTCCAATGGGGGTTTGGCTTTTAAATTTATCCCAGTCTAATGCAAAGCCTGTTTCACTCTGGGTCTCATTCTGTTCTCACAGCAGATAGCCCAGTCTGCATTGAAGTAACCGCCACTGAAAGAGAAGTTGATCCTAAATGCATAGGCCTACATTTTAAGTAGGGTGACCAGATGTCCCGATATTATAGGGACAGTCCCGATTTGTGGGTCTTTTTCTTATATAGGCTCCTCCCAACCCATGTCCCGATTTTTCACATTTGCTGTCTGGTCACCCTAATTTTAAGTGACTGCTTGTTTTGATTGCCTGTTTTTGGATTGCCAACACAAGCCACCTTTTAAAAGGGCCTGATTTTTCATAGGAGCTGTGACCTGCCCGTGGGCAGTTCCTGCAATTGCAGTTGTAGGTGGAGACGCCATTAAAGCGGTTCAAGTTGAGCACTCAAAATCACTAGCCGTTTGGAAATCTTGGGCCATAAAGATGACAGGTCAGTGATTTGTTGGGGGAAGGGTCAAAGCTAGAGTCATATCCCCTCTTCTTGGTCCTCCTTTTCCCATTCCCATCCCCAAGGATGGAAAAAAAACCCCTATATGTTCGCTTGCCCTATACGTTTGCATTTTTCCACTCCCCACTTTTGTCAGGGCTCTGCCTGGTCACTTGCTGACTCTAGTTGCCTTCACTCTTTCCCTGCGTGAGCCCCCAGCTCTGAGACAGTGATGGTGTCCCACCGGCATCCCTTCCAGCGATCACTGACAGCTTTGCCTACACCTGCCCTGTTCTTCCCCCACACCCCACCCCTCCTTTGTATCCTTCACCCTTTCTGGCGATTGTTGCAAGCATCTGCATCCTCTGCCCGCCCCATGGGGCCACCTTGCCTAGGCACCCCCCTTCCCCTGTCAATCCTGGGGCTACACACACATTGAGTCGGTGGCAGGTCTCAGCTGCAGCCAGCACTTGCTGATCAAGCGAATCTCAGGCAAGGAGAGAGGCAAGTGCCTCCCTTTCAGCCCCCCGCGCGCTTCGCTCCCTCCTCCCTGCCATGCAGATTTGCAGTTGTCTGGGCGTTGTAATTTCCAGGAGCAGGAGAAAGAGGATTGGTGTTTGCGGGGCTATAAAAGGGGAGAGCCAGGCGCATTGTCCTCCCCCCCTTTCTGTGCATCACCCACCCAGCATCGTCCCTTCCCTGCCTGCAGCTCCCTCGCAGCCCCACCATGAGCTACACCAGCGACCTGCTCTACCCACCCTCCTCCTATAAGAAGATCTTCGGGGAAACTTCTCGCCTCTCCAGCAGGGTCTACAGCAGCCCGGCACCTCCCCGGGCTGCCGGCTACCGCGCCCACCATGCCAGGGACTCCTACCCCACCTCCTATCGCAAGCTGGCCGGGCCCAGCTCCGCGAACCACCTGGAGCTGCTCTCCCAGTCCAGCGCGGTGAGCAACGAGCTGAAAATCGTGCGCACCAACGAGAAGGAGCAGCTGCAAGGGCTCAACGACCGCTTCGTGACCTACATCGAGAAGGTGCACCAGCTGGAGCAGCACAACCGGCTGCTGGAGGCCGAGGTCTCCCTGCTGCGCCAGCGCCAGGCGGAGCCCTCCCGCCTGCAGCAGCTCTACGAGCAGGAGATTCGCGAGTTGCGCTCCAAGGTGGAGGAGCTGCGCCACGAGCGGGACGAGGCGCAGCTGGAGAGCCAGCAGCTGGCGCAGGGGCTGCAGCGCCTGCGGGAGCAGTGCCAGGAGGAGGCGCGCCGGCGGGAGGAGGCCGAGCTGGCCCTGCGCGAGTACAGGAAGGACGTGGACCACGCCACCCTGGCCCGGCTGGAGCTGGAGAAGAAGGTGGAGTCGCTGCTGGACGAGATCGCCTTCCTCCGGAAGGTGCACGAGGAGGAGGTGGCGGAGCTGCAAGCCTCGCTGCAGGATGCGCAGGTACCAGCGCCCAGCTCTGCGGTGCGCTGCCCACCTGCCCTTCCCCAGCATCCCCCGGCCCTGACCGCCCCGCCCTGCGCTCCCCATGTCCCTGTTCAGCCCTGCGCTCCGGCTCCCCACCTGCCCCTGCCCAGCCCTGCACTCCCTTGCCACCTGCCCCTGCCCAGCGCTGGGCTCCCAGTTCTGTATCCCCCTGACAAACGCTGCGCTCCCCTCTCCTCCCCGCCTGCCCCTGCGCTCCCATCCCCTCCAGCCCTCTCAGCCCTGTACTCCCCTCCCCACCTGCCCCCCCCAGCCCCTGCCCTGCTCTCTCTTCCCCTCCCCTGTCCCTGCCCAGCCCCAGCCCTGCACACTCCCTGTTCTGTATCCACCCAACCGACCAACCCTGCTGCACGGATCTCCCCACCTGTCCCTGCCCAGCACAGCGCTCCCCTTTCTGCATCCCGCCTTCCCAGTGCTCCCCTCCTGGCAAGATGCCCAACAGCAGCCTCCCCAGGGTGGCACATAACACCCCCAAGGGCTCGGTGTTCACCTCCAGGATTCAACCACCCAGCAATCCCATTCCACCGCCCACATCCCCAGGTGCCCAGCGCCCTTCTCCCCCCACATGCCACGTGGATGGGGTGTGCCTTCACTCACCCCCAATATCCATCTCCTCCTAAGGAGCAAGAGAGAGTCCTGTGGCACCTTTAAGACTAACAGATGTATTGGAGCATAAGCTTTCGTGAGTAAATGCCCACTTGAAGTGGGCATTCACCCATGAAAGCTTATGCTCCAATACATCTGTTAGTCTTAAAGGTGCCACAGGACTCTCTCTTGCTTTTTACAGATCCAGACTAACACGGCTACCCCTCTGATACTCCTAAGGAGTATTACACACACACAAACCCCTCCTCTTGTGTGCTGGATAAAGTGTGTGCTACACACCCGTACCCCTCCGTCTCTATGCTGGATAAAGTGTATGCTATACACACATACGCACCCTTCCAGTGTGCTGGATGAGGTGTGTTATACGCACTGATTACCCCTCTTCCGTATGTGCTAGATGGATAGGGTGTGGCATACATGCACAATACTGCCCTCCTCCTCTATGCTGTGCATTAGAGCACAGCCCTCACCCCCACCCCATAATTTTATACTTCCATAGGCTGAGCATATAGAGAGTGTTACATACCCTCCCCCTATTCTCTTCCTCTTGCATATGCTGAATGGATAGATACTAGATCCTTTGCACTGGGCACAAAGCTATTGCAGCCAGTGGGTCATTGAAAGGTTATCTTTGTTAAGGTAGACATTTGACTGGCTCACCTCATGGTGTTGGATGCCTGCACACAATGCCTTTGCATCCTGCAGCTATGACCCCTATCCTCCTTCCCTGTATTGAATGGGTAATAGGGTACTTACATATTCTGCTTTTTTGATTACATTGTATTCTGCATAAAGTCGTCTGGAAGGTTAAATCAGCGCTGCGTCTTCTTTTGCGTTGAGTATTGGATTGGCTCACATTGGACTGTTGGAAGTGTGATTCAGTTCCTTGAATACCACAGCAAACTGTACCTTGATTATATTGTTACTAAGCCCTGCTGGGAAGATAGCATCCTGCTGCTATACTGCAGTGCCATTGGTACAATAGGTACCTAGCGCCCACCCTGCAGAGCGCACACAATGACAATCTATTGTGCCTGAGCCACGTGCTAGTGGAATGAAAAGACCGAAGCTTAGAAAAGAAGGAAAGCTCAGTCCTGGCTTCATTCATCAGTCTGGGTTTCAAGTGAAGTTGCGGGACTATTTCTGTACATGTTGGGAGGAAAAAATGAAGCATGCTTAATGCAAAAAGTAGCTAACCCACGTTAATTCTTTGGATGTACATGAGAATAGCGGTTATTCTAATGAGCTTGTTATGCGTAGGTTTCATGGGCAGCTCAGTGACAACTCTTTTGTCATGTGGGTTTCGTTAATGTCCACTTTCGCAAGGTGGTGTCAGACAAATGTTAAACTGCATGTAAAGGTATTAAAACACCAGATCCGTAAGGACAAACCCAGAGCAGCTTAGTGAAGCGGCTTTACAGCTGCAGTTGCATTATTGATGGAAACGGATGAATCTCCTGAGCATTGAAATCAATAGCTGGTGCAGAGGTATTGTAATGCAGCCTGGATTATCCATATGGAATCATAGAAACATAGGGCTGGAAGGGAATTGAGAGGTCATCAAGTCCAGCCCCCTGCGCTGAGGCAGAGCCAAGTAAACGGAGACTGCCCATGAGAGGTGTTTGTCCAGCCTGTCCTTAAAACCTCCAATGACGGGGATTCCACAACCTTCCAGAGCTTAACACCCTTAGAGTTAGAAAATGTTTTCTACTATCTACCCTCAATCTCCCTTGCTGCAGATTAAGCCCATTATGTCTTGTCCTGCCTTGCACACGGAGAACAGTTGATCACCGTGCTCTTTATAACACTTCTTACCTATTCGAAGACTGTTGTCAGGTCCCCTCTCGTTCTTCTTTTCTCAAGACTAAACATGCCCAGGTTTTTTAACCTTTCCTTGTAGATCAGGTTTTCTAAACTTATTATCATTTTTGTGGCTTTCCTCTGGACTCTCTCCAATTTATCCGCATCTTTCCAAAAGTGTGGCACCCAGAATTTGACACAATGCTCCAGCTGAGGCCTCACCAGTGCCGAGAGGAACAGGACAATTACCTTATGTGTGACGCTCCTGTTAACTGCATCACACCATTGTCTCATGTTCAATTTGTGATCCACTACAACCCCTGGACCCTTTCCAGCAGTACTGCCACCAAGCAGTTGTTCCCCATTTTGTAGCTGTGTTTGATTTTTTTTTTCCTTGCTAAGTGTAGTTCTTTACACTTTTCTTTCTTGAATTTCATCTTGTTGATTTCAGACCAATTCTCCAATTTGTCAAGGTCACTTTGAATTTTAATCCTTTCTTCCAAAATGTTTGCAACCCCTCCCAGCTTGGTGTCATCTGCAAGTTTTATAAGCATACTTTTCACTCCATTGTGCAAATCATTAATAAAAATATTAAATAGTTTCAGACCCAGGACTGACCCCTGCAGGACCCCAGTAGATACACCCTCCCAGTCTGACAGTGAACCATTGATAACTATTCTTTGAGTATGGTCTTTCAACCAGTTGTGCACCCACCTTCTAGTAATTCCAGCTAGACTACATTTTGCTTATGAGAATGTCATGTGGGACAGTTCAAAAGCCTTACTAAAATCAAGATCTATTGCATCTACTCCTTCCCCCCATCTGCTGGGCCAGTAACCCTGTCAGAGAAGGAAATTAGGTTGGTTTGGCATGATTTGTTCTTGACAAATCTATGCTGGCTAGTCCTTATAACCCCATTATCCTCTAGGTGATCACAAATTGATTGTTCAATAATTTGTTCTGGCATCTTTCCAGGTATTAAAGTAAGGCTGACTGGTCTATAATTCCCAGGGTGCTCTTTGTTGCCATTCTTAAAAACAGATACTATGTTTGCCCGTCTCCAGTACTCTGGGACCTCACCCATCCACCATGGATTTCCCCTGAGATGTCACGAGGGACGCAGAATACATTCAGATGACCAAAGCTTTGGCTAATGAAGGGGAATTTTCATTTAACTTATGAAGAGGAAGGTTGATTTTATGGCTAAAGCACTGGATTGGGATTTGAGATGAGCTCTGCTACAGATTTCTTGTGTGACTTTGCCAAGTCGCTTAGTCTGACTCTGACCCAGTTTCCTGTCTGTAATATCAGGACAGTACTCTCCCATTCTTTGTCTCTCTCGATCATAAACTGTTAGGGGTGAGTAGGGACTGTATCAAACTTTGTAGGTACAACACTTAGCACATTGGGGCACGTAGATATAATTGTGATAATACCACAAATAGATTTTTTTTTTGGTGAGGCAGAGAAGGGTACAGCTCTGGATATAACAGAGAAATTTGACTATGGCTGCAATAATAAAGGCTGCGCTGTATTCTCAGAGTGCATTAAGCCTAGAAATATGAATCTTCTTCCGCTTTATTCTCTCTTTCTTGCTTGTTTTGCTTGTTCCTCTGACAGCGGCTTTCAGTCCCTCCTTAACTATGCTACTTGCAGCAAATATATATGTTTTAGTGCTTTGCTAGATTGGAGCCAGGGTGTTCTGCACCTTACAGGGTCAAGCCAGCATAATGAGACCACTTCAGCCTTGGAGTTGCATCTGCTTACACTACAGCTGACTTTGACCCAGTACATTCCTGAATACATGAATATCTGAACTTCTCTTAGACAAGGAGCTGAAACCCATTTCATTCAAAGGAGGACTTTCCCCTGCATTACAGGTTTGATTTCACTTATGACCCCCCTGTGTAATGAGGTATTGATACCAGCAAATGCTTTTTTTTTTTTTTTTTTGCCTATTTGCTACAATGTCCTTTGTTTGCAAGGTTAAACTCCACTTCTGGAATGCCATTCATTTCTAATCATAGAATCATAGAATATCCGGGTTGGACGGGACCTCAGGAGGTATCTAGTCCAACCCCCTGCTCAAAGCAGGACCAATCCCCAATACATAACTTATCTTCATATATAGGACTAAATCCATTGCTAGAGTTGTACCTGCATATTCCATATTCTGGGTCCATGTTCCTCAGTGAGGAACTCCACTGGTTGTATTAGAATAAATATGTGAACATAAGAACGGCCGTACCGGGTCAGACCAAAGGTCCATCTAGCCCAGTATCCTGTCTACCGACAGTGGCCAATGCCAAGTGCCCCAGAGGGAGTGAACCTAACAGGTAATGATCAAGTGATCTCTCTCCTGCCATCTATCTCCATCCTCTGACAAACAGAGGCTAGGGACACCATTCCTTACCCATCCTGGCTAATAGCCATTAATGGACTTAACCTCCATGCATTTATCCAGTTCTCTTTTAAACACTGTTATAGTCCTAGCCTTCACAACCTCCTCAGGTAAGGAGTTCCACAAGTTGACTGTGTGCTGCATGAAGAAGAACTTACTTGTATTTGTTTTAAACCTGCTGCCTATTAATTTCATTTAGTGACCCCTAGTTCTTGTATTATGGGAATAAGTAAATAACTTTTCCTTATTCACTTTCTCCACATCACTCAAGATTTTATATAGCTCTATCATATCCCCCCTTAGTCTCCTCTTTTCCAAGCTGAAGAGTCCTAGCCTCTTTAATCTCTCCTCATATGGGACCCGTTCCAAACCCCTAATCATTTTAGTTGCCCTTTTCTGAACCTTTTCTAGTGCCAGTATATCTTTTTTTAGATATGTGCAGGCATCTGATGAGCAAACCCTAAAATGAGCTCTTTATATCATGGCCACAATCCACCATCTGTATGGAAATTCACTGACAGACCAATAACTTCCTGGCTTTTCTAATATTTTGCATCATAAGGCCAGGTTGTGGGAAACTCTTTCAGTGTGTAAAATCTGTAATCGGCAGAGCTACAAAGAATGCAGCAGGCCCTGGGTGTTGGATTGAGAAGGCAATGCATTCTGTTTGCCCACAATGCTGTCATTTCTCTCCATGAAATGGGGGAGCAATAAACCAGGTACATGTACACGTTTAGATTCAGATTGAACTGTGGCGGAAGGCCAGCACTGTACAGAATTCTACAGAAACACTGGACAACTTAAATAAATGAGTCATTTCACTCCTGGGTGGTGTTATGGTAGCAATTCAGGAACACTTAGCAGAGCTGTGTGTAGGACTTGTTAACTGATCCTGCACAACTCGCATGTCTAAAATTAATGCTGTACCTGTCAAAGTCTTTGCTCCTCTGATACATTTCTTTGAACCCAGGTTAATTTGCTGTGTTAACCTAGTAATTGTTGAGATACTGACTTTTAACATGAGTCAATATCTATCTAGCTATCTATCCCCATCCATCCCCCCATCTATCTATCTCCATACACACCTCTCTTTCACTGTCTACACACAAATACCTGTAGAGAGAATGTCTGTCTAATACAGCTATCTATCTATACCTATCCACCTATGTGTCCTTTGCCTATATGGTCTTTCTGCCTACATATTTACTCACTGTGGCTATAGACAGGGGGCACGGTGGATGGTCAGCTGGTGTAAACTGACATCGCTCCACTGACTTCAGAAGAGCTATGCAGATTTACACCAGCTAAGGATCTGGTCCCATATAATGTGTATTTTATAGCTATTCCATATCCGCATGTGGAGGCGGGGGTCCTGCAGTGTTCCCCCGGCTATGCGGCATTCTGTCATGCACCCGTGACTACCCGCTTCCTGTCCACCAATCCACTTCGTTAGGACTTATTCCTGCCCCAAGTATCTGAATAATTTGGCTAGCTGCTGGGGAAACCCCACAGGGGCAAGCAACATCTCCCCCTGCCCTCAGGCCATCCCGTGACAGCAGAGGAGCTCCAGGACCGTGCATGACTGTGGAGAGAAGAGCCGTGTAGCACTAAATCCCCTGACTTCATTTCTACCTTGTCCTTAATTCAAAGAGCCTCTGTATTGGGACCTCATGGTGCTGGGCTCCACCGCTCAGTATGGGAGTCATTTGTCCTCCAGCTTGCTTCGTGCAGAGGAAACACAGCTGTTCCCCTGTGTCCTGAGCGCTCCGGCTCTGCATGGGGGACAAGGTGAAGGATCTGGGCCATCATTCAGGCCATGCAGCCTAGGACGTCGGGAAACAGCCCTGAGCAGCTTCAGTGTTTTTGTATTCCTATCCGTTTCCCCGTGCTTCATGCTGCCTGTGTGTGGGGTGGGGTCCCTTCCTTCTGTGCCCTCTCCAGGTCTCAGTGGAGGTGGACGTGAGCAAGCCTGACCTCACGGCCGCCTTGAAGGAGATCCGCATGCAGTATGAGGTCCTTTCCGCCCGGAACCAGCAGTCCGCCGAAGAGTGGTACAAATCCAAATTCGCCAACTTCACCGAGGAGGCGGCTCGCAGCAGTGACAGCATCCGCCAGGCCAAGGAGGAGATCACGGAGTACCGGCGCCAGCTGCAGGCCCGCAACATCGAGGTCGAGGCTCTGAGGAATGCCAACGAGTCCCTGGAGAGGCAGCTGCAGGAAGCGGAGGAGAGGAGCAATGGGGAGATCCATAATCTGCAGGTAGAATCATAGAATATCAGGGTTAGAAGGGACCTCAGGAGGTATCTAGTCCAACCCCCTGCTCAAAGCAGGACCAATCCCCAACTAAATCCCCAAATCCCTAAATGGCCCCCTCAAGGATTGAACTCTCAACCCTGGGTTTAGCAGGCCAATGCTCAAACCACTGAGCTATCCCTGACACTTGCCAATAGACATCAGCTTCTTATTTGTTTCCAACTCAAGAGCTCACTTGCAGCCCTAGGAATCAGAGACTCAAGTGGCAAAATGCCAGATATGCATCTAGCAAAATTATCCTGGGCTTTTGTCTTTCCTGATAGCTGGTGGAGGCCAGGCTTTGGGGCATGTTTGCGCTGGGAAGAAGACGGTCCTTACACAGAGATGGGATGTACTTAGCAAACCTTGCCCTGAATGGGAGGGGGAGAGACTATGATAGTAACATTTCTATAATATCTCCCGCCTGTGATCTTCAAACACTTTGAAAACATTCATTCACTACCCCACCCTCCAGCCCCGGGTGAGGTAGATTGTAAGTATTATTAGCCCCACGTCTCAGCTTGGGAAACTGAGGCACAAAGCATTCATTGATCTTTGGGGGCCTCTGTTTTTTGGGTGTCCACTGAGGGGCTGATTTCCAGAGGTGCTCGAATTCCAATTGCACCTCCCAAATGGTTAGATCTACAATTTCAAAGAAGTCCAAGTGACTTGCCCAAGATCAGGCTGTGAGCCAACAATAGAACCCAGGAGTCCGGGCTTCTAGTCTCCTGATTTGACTATTAGATTAGATAGAAAAAATAATAATCACATGAACTCCTTTGAGGAACAGAGCTGATTTGCTAGAACAGCAGACGTCTGATATGCTGGGGAAGGGACCAGCCCAAACGAATGTTTGAGCGTATTAGTAAATGTATAGGATCGCTACTGAGATTTGGGATATGCACTGTATAAACACATAATAAGACAATCCCTGCCCTGCAGAGACTGCAGTTGAAATAAACAAGGCAGAGGTGGGAGGGAAAGAAAGGTGAAATGACTTGCCCTGCTTAAACAGCAAGTCAGTGGCATAGCCAGGAATAGAAAACTCAGTCCAGTCTGGGTCCCAGTCCAGCACTCTAATCCACTGGACCACACTGATATCTCCTCCTGAGATCAGTTTGAACAACACATCTGGAAGGAGGGGCACTAAAAGCAAACGAGAGGGACCTACTGACATGATCAAAATGTTCTCCCTTCTACTTCTTTTTCTGCAGGAGACTATTAACCAGCTTGAAAATGCTCTAAGGACGACCAAGGGAGAGATGGCTCGTCACCTCCGAGAGTACCAAGACCTGCTGAATGTGAAGATGGCCCTGGATATTGAAATAGCTGCATACAGGTAAAACGATATCAAGAGGCCTTCTTCCCCTATGTCTTTGGGGATATTTGATGCTGGCGGTCACACCTCTCAGTTTTCGTAGAAAGAAACAAATACCCAGAAACATTATACCCCTGGATATTCTGTAAGATTGTGTAGCAATCCAGCGCAGTTCTGTAATGAGAATAATGAGAAAAATTACAGCAGATGCCCAGGTTCGACTCGGGGTTAGAACTGGTCAAAAGCCCCCACCCCCCATTGCTCCTATTTTTACTCCTGATCTCCTCATACGCAAACGCGTTTTAAAGTTTCCAGAGATTAATAGCTTCTAAGGCCAGAAGGGACCACTGTGATCATCTAGTCTCACCTCCTGCATAACACAGGGCAGAAAAGGTCCCCCAAAATAATTCCTTAAGCAGAGCCTTTAAAAAAACATCCAAAAAGGAATCCATAGCAATATGCATTAGGAAACCTAGATCAAAATGCTGTACAGCAGCCATCTGTCTGTCTAGGTCTTCAAGCTGGGATTTTCAAATGACCTAAGGGAGTTAGGTGCTCAGATCCCATTTAAATAGGAATATGGTATCCAGCTCCGTTATTCGTCTTCAAAGATCCCTGACATATATCACTGTCATCACCATGTTGCCTGGACACTCATCTCCATGGCCTCACTGATGTCACGTAGTTGTGACGCTCTCGTCAGGGAATCCAGAACCCTAAGCCACCGTGTTACCCCTCTGCCTTGACAAGTGAGAGCTTTGCGGCTGCTAAACTGTGCATCAGCTACCTGATGCTCCAGTGTGTCTGCCTTGCTAATGAGCTCCTCCAGACTCTGCCAGTCCAAACCTGGCCCTGCAGGTAAGAATCAGTGAAGCCCAGGTCCTGAGTTCCTGAGACGTCTCCCTGCAGCGTCCAGTCCTTCTCACTGGACACGCTTAGAAATTATGAAGTTTGCTGCTTCCGAAGAGACCGAGCACTCACCAGCCTGTTTGGCTGAGGACTCATGCATCGATATAACAGCGCTGAGGTGGTTTTGTATAAAACAAGAACAAGTTATGTGATGTGGCCGTGAAAAAAGCTAATGCGGTCTTGGGGTGCATCAGGCGAGGTATTTCCAGTAGAGATAAGGAGGTGTTAGTACCGTTATACAAGGCACTGGTGAGACCTCATCTGGAATACTGTGTGCAGTTCTGGTCTCCCATGTTTAAGAAGGATGAATTCAAACTGGAACAGGTGCAGAGAAGGGCTACTAGGATGATCCGAGGAATGGAAAACCTATCTTATAAAAGGAGACTCAAAGAGCTTGGCTTATTTAGCCTAACTAAAAGAAGGCTGAGGGGGAATATGATTGCTCTCTATAAATATATCAGAGGGATAAATACCAGGGAGGGAAAGGAATTATTTAAGTTCAGTACAAATGTGGACACAAGAACAAATGGATATAAACTGGCCATCAGGAAGTTTAGACTTGAAATTGGACGAAGGTTTCTAACCATCCGAGAAGTGAAGTTCTGGAACAGCCTTCCAAGGGGAGCAGTGGGGGCAAAAGACATATCTGGCTTCAAGACTAAGCTTGATAAGTTTATGGAGGGAATGGTATAATGGGATAGCCTACTTTTGGCAATTAATTAGTCTTTGACTATTAGCGGTAAATATGCCCAATGGCCTGTGATGGGATGGGATCTGAGTTACTACAGAGAATTCTTTCCTGGGTGTCTGGCTGGTGAGTCTTGCCCACATGCTCAGGGTTTAGCTGATCACCATATTTGGGGTCGGGAAGGAATTTTCCTCCAGGGCAGATTGGCAGAGGCCCTGGGGGTTTTTCGCCTTCCTCTGCAGCATGGGGCATGGGTCACTTGCTGGAGGATTCTCTGCACCTTGAAGTCTTTAAACCATGATTTGAGGACTTCAATGGCTCGGACACAGGTTTGATACAGGAGTGGGTGGGTGAGATTCTGTGGCCTGCGTTGTGCAGGAGGTCAGACTAGATGATCATAATGGTCCCTTCTGACCTTAAAGTCTAAGTTTATTAATAAAGAGCACAGATTTAAGTGATATCAGGCAAGAATAAAAGAGAAAAAAGGATTAAACAATACAAAAATAATATGCTTTCTAGTGCCTAAAACTTCATTCTAGGAAGATATATCTTTGCCAAAAACAGTTTCTCATTTGTAGCAAATTATCAGCAAGGATCTACCATTCACAGGCTTAGAGGGTGCTGTACCCTATGTCCCCAAGTGATGGATAACTAAGGGTTCTTTCCCCTTCTTTTTGTAGTCCTGTGAACCTTTGAAGTGTATCCATGTAAATTTTTTCTCCCCTGCTGCTTGTGAAGATGCCAGGCTGTCTCCTTCGTCCTCTGGTCAATCTGTTTCTCTGCTTGACTTAATCACTTGTTTTCCCTTCGATGTAAATGTCTTTCCATTGTCTCTTTGGCCTCACCTTGCTCAATATGCATTGGGGATGCAGGCAAACAAGCAGCCAAGACAGCATTCCTTTGTCAAGGGCAGACTGCCTCCAAAAGCCTATTTTAAGAACATATTTCCAGCTCGCATCTGTAATGCTATATATGCGACCTGGACACAGACCCCCGCGATGATATTCATGACCAGCGTGTCGCCAGGTTTTATCTGATTCCTTCCACGACACAGTTTGGCTGGATAGTCTGAGTCACAGGGTTTGGCTGGATAGTTTGTCTGGAGTGTGCCTGTGAAATAGCGCTTCGGGTCTCAGTAGCCGTAGAGGCTGTTCCTTCCTGGGGGCAATGTGCTGACTGATCACTTGGCTGCTTTCCCATGGGTGGGGGGGAAGTTCCCCGTTGCCACATCTCGATGAAAACTGATCTGGGAAGGATATTTTAGAAAGGAGAAGGCAGGGATCTGAAATCTTGCTCCAGCAAGCAGCTTTATTGCATCTTTCTTGGTGTTTCTCTCTCCCCCGCCCCCAGGAAATTACTGGAAGGGGAGGAAACGCGGCTAAGCACCGTCAGCAGCGGGAACACCTTCGGCCTTGGCTACACGTTCTCATCTAGCCCTTTCTCTGGCGCAAAAGCCTTCTCCGCCAGCACGGTCACTGTCAGGAGGGAGGAGAAGCGAGACCTGCAGGAAAGCATCAAGGACCCCAGACTTTCAGAGGAGCCGAAGCCTGCCGAGGAAGATCAGCCCGGAGAAGAAAAGGTCGAAGCCGTCCCAGCCAAGAACTAAACTGGAGTGAAGTCGCTATGCGCCTCCCCAGGGGGAAAAGGAGTCCCTCACAGGCGAGAGATTACGTTGTGTTCTAATGTAGCCAATTACAGTAACACTGAGCGGCAGCCTGGTCCAGTGGCTAGTGCTCCGGACTGGGACTCAGAGACCTGGGTTCTAGTCCCAGCTCTGCCACTGGCCTGCTGGGTGACCTTGGGCAAGTCACTTCACCTCCCTGCACCTCAGTTTCCTCTCTCACCTTGTCTGTAGATTGTAAGCTTCTCTGGGCAGGGACTGTCTCTGGCTATGTGTTTGTACAGCGCCTAGCACAATGGGGCCTTGATCTCCGTTGGATCCTTTGGTGCTATTATAATAATGCTCGTAGAACAAAGGTATGTATGTGTGTCCCCTGCCCTCTCCAGGCTCGACTTCCAGGCCCTCGTCCTGTTCACACTGCACATGGTGGTAAAACATTCCAGTGATTTCAGCGGGGTCAGAATTGGGCCCCTACATAACAGTGTCCAGGGCTTCAGAGCCCTGACCCCTCCCTCCCACACCCTGCAGTGCACCGTTAGCTGCTCCAACCCCTATTCTCTCCATTGCGGTTTATAGAGTAGGCTCAGTTGAATGGGAGGTTGGCTGATGCAGAACCAAACCTTGGTCCCTGTTAAAGTAAATATTGACACTCCCATAGATTCTAGGGGACCATTTTATTGGCCCAAAGCCTGGCAAACTTGGTCTAGTTGCCTGAAAGGCTTGGGAACCAAAGCCACTAAATACCCTATGGAAACTAAGTGAGAATGAGGATGTAAATGGTTTTTTTTGAAAGGCCCCTAGACACACCTATTATTCGGCAATAGCTAGAGCAGTGTTTCCCAAACTGCGGGTCACCGCCCCGAATGGGGACGGGCCATCAGCAGATGGTGTCACGGCGATCCCTAGTGTTCAGAGGACACCATTTTGCGCTGCACAGCATGACCTTGCACGAATGGTGCGTGCAAGGTCACAATGCCTGGAGGGCGCCATTTTGCTCTACAAAATGGCTACCTCTGCACAGTGAGCCCTCGCATGCACTATACGGATGAGGTCATGCTGTGCAGAGGATGCTATTTGGCTCTTCAAAATGGCATCCTCCATGCTGTCTGGGGTCCCGGGAGGAAATAAGTCATTAAAATGGGGTCGTGCCAGCAAAAAAGTTTGAGAACCCCCGATCTAGAGCATGTTCATAGATGGTCAGCCAGTTTCTTCCATTCCCCCTTTCCCTCGTCTTTGTTGGGAGTTATCTCAGCCCCTCCCTCCTCATGAGACTCCTTCCACTCTTATACCTTGCTCTGCCTTTCCTGGGTTGTCTTAGCTATACCAGCAAACCCTTTCTAGTGTAGATAAGGCCATGCATGACAAGAGGAGAGATAGAAAAGCTCTGGTTTAGGGCCAGATTCTGATGCATTTACTCACACTGAATAGCACCTTACTCCATAAGTGGTCTCATTGGGGTACTAGAAAGGGTCTCAGTGTAAATAAGGGTACTAAGAATCTGGCCCTTCGAGACAGATTTTCACAAGAGCACACTTGGCGTGTTTGGTGTGGAGCCTTTCTGCCAATCTGGCCCGGATTTTGGAATTTTCAAATTTAGCCCTTCTTAATTAACAGTGGATTTATAGCTCTCCTTTAAAAAACAGGATTTGGGGTGTGTAGGGCAGATTGCATCAGTAATATTTTCTGGGAACGGCAATCTGAAGACGTGTAACATCCAAAATGATGAAGATGTTGTGGAAATTCAGGCGCTGTAATTATGATGCAGAGAGACCGTCTGTAAATACAGTCTGATATCCTTCAGTTAACATCCATATGTTATTTGTCTGTCTCTCTTCCAATCCACGAATGTACCCGGGGGAGGGGAGGAGAATTGTATCATGAAAGTGAATGTTCTGTAGAAAGAATTAGCTTGATATTCTGAATGTAGAGCAGACAGCGATTGGTCGCTGCGGACATTAGTGTTCTGTTAGAGGGCTTGAGGTAGGCTTAAAACTTTAGTCTAGAGCTGGTCAAAATGGTTCGAATTTCAAAACTTTGACAATTTCAGAATTTGACATTTGAAGGGGGAAATAATTGGGGAGAAACTTTCTCCCCATTTTTCAATCAACTGGAGATCTGGTCAAAATGTTGAATTTCAGAATGAGAGAAAAATATTTCACACAGATCTTTTGTGAATGATTTGACCACGTCAACTTTAGACTGTTACTGAATGCAGATCCATGGCCTAATCTAGAATGTGTATGTATAGTGGAATGTAGACTGATCATAAGACAATGGTTATTGCAAGTGCTCTTTCTTTAATCGATACGACATTTTGGATCAAGGTATCATTTTGCATGAAGCTACCTTTCAGATAATTTGAATGTGACTTTCCTCTTTTTCCATTAAAATATTCTTTGTTTATTTGGAAGGCAAATGAATAGAAAACCGAACCCCCAATAAACAGTATGTTGGTGTCTGAACAAAAATGTTGTTTGCAGCTTGTAAACTCATCTGCCTGGCATCCTAGGCCCGATCCTCAGCATGTATCTCCATCAATGTCTATGAAGCTACGTTGATTTCCCCCAGCTGAGGATCTGGTCCTGTATTTCTAAGACTCATTTGTTTAACACATGTGCCATACTCTAGTCCAGGGACCATGATTTGGTTGTTGGCTTCAGCATTTTTAGTTCTCTATGTGCTTTGTTTTTGTCCGTTTCTTTCCCCCATTGGAAATACTGGGCCAGATCTTCAGCTGATGTAAATCGGCATAACTCTGCTGAAGTCAGTGGAAACACACTGATTTAAACCAGCTCAATATCCGGCTCTGTATTTAAAGCCCATTGCAAAATGCCTGTAGGGGGTGCAGTTCAGACAGCGAGTGCAAGGCCTATGCACCGGTTAAGCCTTCAGAATTGGACAGATTCTTTGCAAAGGGGTGAGTTTCACCCCTAGGCAACGGTTGTGACAGAGGAGTTGGGGTGGGAGGGAACAGCATTCAAACAGCAGAATGAACACAGTCACAATCTATATATTGTAACACAGGGTACTCACTTGCACCAGCCAAGCTTTTTGGGGGGGGCTCTCTTCTCCATAATACAGATCACAGGCTGCAGTGTAGTTAGAAGAGCATGTTTTGCTCTTGTTTTTAATTGACTCACACGGGGTTGGAGCGGGGGACGGGATATAATTTTAAATCACAGAGGGTCGGGTGGAAAACAGATTAATGAATTCAAACTAGTTATTTTAACCCCCAAAAATAATTCGAGAGGTTCTGAAAACTTCTAGTTCCTCTGGGGCTGCCTTTCCCTAGCTGCTTGTGCCGCTTTGCTCTTTAAACTAGAGACAATGATCGCATAATGAACTCGTACCGCATAGAACTGCCTGGGCACCCAGCAGCGGGCTCCTAGGTTGAAAGGCCTGGTAAATAGCCTCCTTTGAAATCTCCAATGGCTGGATCCAACTCCTCTTGAAAGTTTAATGCTTGGGGGCACATCCAATTCTGAGTTAATGGAAAGACTTCCAGGGGCAGATCTTCAGCTGGTGACAATGGTCCTAGTGCTATTTGGGAGGCAGTGTGGCCTAGGAGATAGAGCACTGCACTGCAACTCGGAAGACCTGGCTTCTATTCCCCGTTCTGTAGTTGTACCTGTACAAAACCGTGTGGGTAGCCCAAGCTTTACTCAGGCCGAGTATTACTTAGAACCCTAAGTCTCAGCACCGTGTCTCAGGATACAAAGCCAGGGGCGTAGGCCCTCTATTAAATTTGCCACTGTTGGCTCTCTGCTGTCAGCTCTTCTTCCAAGACTGCTCAAAGGCCCACTTTGTGTGTCATTTCCCCCACTTGTAGAAATGGGAATACCGATTTTGTTATTGTTTTGCCCATCTTGGGGAAAGTGCTTTGAGATCATCAGGTGAAAAGGACTCTCGGTGGAAGTTTGGCTCTTGCTACAATGGCACTTAATACGTTGCCGACACATTACAAGGGCTTGGGCCTTGCACTGTGATGCACCGTGAGTGGAATTTCAGTATATCTGATCCCACTGTATTCCTTTCCCTGTAAAACCTCTACTCCATCATTTACCGCTGCCAGTCACACAAAGTCTTTGTCTAGACGTGTCCTAGGTATGAATAACGGCAATAGCCTTTCCTTGACCTCTTTATTAGTATAAGTGACTATTAACTGTATTAGATTAAAAACACAGGCTACATGAATAAAAAATCCCTTCCATGGAGAGTTTACTTCCAATAACAGTCATGGCACTGGGACTTCCTGGGAACTAACAGAGTAAGCCAGTGGCTCGTTAATCCCGAGGAGGTTATTGCTAATATAATCTGAACATGGAAAAAAAATCATATGGATTTCTTAGAGGGTGAAGCAGCTTGCTAGGTGTATTCAGGGCCTTTCTAAAGAGTTAATGCTCTTTACACTTCATTGTCCTGTCTGATCAATTGAATCATCTCCCAGTAATCAGTTAAATTAACAATTTCCAGCAGCAGTTATCTTTGGGGATATTTATTGTTTCCTGTGGAACTCAATAAAAAGGATGCGAACTTTCTGTTAATTAGGTCACTGATTAATTTCATCCTCTGTTTTATGGGATTAAAAGCCTCAGGTACCAAACCATTTCTATTAAAAATGATATGATTTCTACCCTTTATACAGGTTGGTTTTGATAGGTCTAGGCAGTTAGCAGTGGGTAATGCTATATATAGAAAGTTGCTGTTAGGGGTTTAGAACAGGTCCCATATTAGGAGAGATTAAAGAGGCTTTTTTTTCAGCTTGGAAAAGAGGAGACTAAGGGGGGATATGATAGAGGTATATAAAATCATGAGTGGTGTGGAGAAAGTGAATAAGGAAAAGTTATTTACTTGTTCCCATAATATAAGAACTAGGTGCCACCAAATGAAATTAATGGGCAGCAGGTTTAAAACACATAAAAGGAAGTTCTTCTTCACACAGCGCACAGTCAACCTGTGGAACTCCTTGCCTGAGGAGGTTGTGAAGGCTAGGACTATAACAGCGTTTAAAAGAGAACTGGATAAATTCATGGAGGTTAAGTCCATTAATGGCTATTAGCCAGGATGGGTAAGGAATGGTGTCCCTAGCCTCTGTTTCTCAGAGGGTGGAGATGGATGGCAGGAGAGAGATCACTTGATCGTCACCTGTTAGGTTCACTCCCTTTGGGGCACCTGGCATTGGCCACAGTCGGTAGACCGGATACTGGGCTGGATGGACCTTTGGTCTGACCCAGTATGGCCATTCTTACGTTCTGTTCACCCTAATAACAAGGAAGGCCAGAGCGGTGAGTTAAAAAAAGCTTCTGTGATAACGAAAGTTGCCTACATTGTGTTATTCAAACATTGCTATCGAGATTATAAGCGCTACCATGTGCTAGAGGTGTTCAGATGGATAAGATCAGCTGTTTATTTTAAAGTGATAGGTAAGCATTTGATTTAAATTAGATGGTTCTACACTAATAATAGTACTTAATAACTAATAATGAAGTCTGGGATTTTCAAAGGAGACCAGCAGAGTTAGGCACACATTGAAAGTCAATAGGAATTGGGTACCTAAAGCCGTTAGGCCCCGGGGGAGCCCTAATCCTTTGCATTTCTAGCAGCATTTGTCAGATCTCAATGCTTTGGTTTTCCAACAGCTTTGTTCTTGTCATTTAACTGCCTGTTGGTAAAGTCTGCAAACATGCGGTCAGTCAGTGGGGTTTTCCCCCATATCCGCTCTGGAAAGTTGTAGAGTTGAAAACCCTTAAAGAGAACATCATATGTATACAAATCCCGGACAAATAAAGGAGGGGGGAAATTGCACAAAGGCCCCCTGCAAGCCAGCTCTTCCCAAGAAGGTAATTTGTATGAGAGCCAAAAAACAAAGCTTTGCGGATGTTATAAAACACACAGGCCCAGATGCACAAGAGTAGTTCGGCTCCTGACGTCCAGTGACTTTTTAGGAATACAGCAGAGCCCGCTTATAACTTGATCATAGTGAAATGCTACTTTATAGTGATGTCCCATGGTGCTTCAGGGCATGTCAATGGACTTTGGCCCAGATCCTCAAAGGTACTTTGATGCCTAATTCCCAATGGGGAGTTTGACTTTGAGGCTCTGGTTCTTTCATTCTGCTGTGTTCTCATTTCACTCATATTCCACTCTACTAATTCCCTTCCAATAAAGTCATTGGGCAGATCCTCAGGTAAAGTCAATGGAGTACTGCTGATGTATATCAGCTGATGATCTGGCCCATCATCAGCTAGCTTAGCAGTGAAATGCTACATTTGGAGGGGTCTCTCTTCCTGTGAGCTGGCCAGAAGGACCCCTAAGCTCTAGGTTTGTCTATAGTTGCTCCTAGACGTGGTCTATGCTGGGGTCCTCCTGATTCTTTGCTGTTCTCCAGCTTGTGCAGTCACTGACACCAGTGCAAAGCGTTACCAGATCAGACTGGTAATGTTTTCAATCTGCATTGCACAGGGGTGAATGGCTGCACCAGGTATAGGGTGGGGGAGAATCTGCCTCAGAGAAGTTTAGGGAATTCCTCCCCCACCACTGTAGTGCAGGTGTGGCTCCACTGCCTGAGCCCAGTCTGTGCTCATGCTCCCAACTGTGGCTTGCGTTAGTAGAAGATTTCTGTAAAATTATCAGTGTAGATGCAGCCCTGGGGAGAGGACCAGGTTTTGTTACAGCTGTTCTCCACTGGGAGTGAAAACATGGTTCCCCAGAGATGTCTCTACAGCTGCCTGCACTCCTTGAGATCTCAAGGAGCGATGAAAAGTCCTGCTACTACTCCCAGTATTATGAGGTGGGGCTGCTTTTGTCAGGTAAGGTCTTTCTTGTTACAGTACTATAATCTCTAAGGGTCTCTTTGGGAGCATGGATAAATGCCAGCTCACCATGCAGATGCCTGTGGCTCTCATTCTGCAAACCCTTAAGCATGTACATAACTTTGCTCTCCAGTAGAGTGTATGAGGGTTATTTACATGATTAAAGTTACCTGTAGGCTTAAGGGTTTGTAGGTTCAAAGTCTAGGGGCCAGATTCTCAAGAGTATTTAGGTGCCTAACCCCCATTGATTCCAATGGGCGTTAGGTGCCTAAATACCTTTGAGGATCTGACCCTAAAGCTTCTAATGTTAGCAGAGCATTTGCTACCTGGAATGGGTACAGTGGGAATGGAGGAAAATAACTGAATTGGCTGGTGATTTATTTTATGGCTGGGATATAAAATTCTAATTATTACTGGCCTGCACTTAAAACAATCATGGGTTAAAACCCTTTCTGCATATCAACAAAACGGTGAGCACTAAACGGGATTTGATTAAATGTTTTAGTGGGGGGCAATCTAGGAACATAGTTGGAGACTTTGGAAGCAGTGGGGGAAATGCCCTCAGCTCACATGCTGCTGGGTGCTGTGCAGTAGCCGCGGTGTAATGACTTGGGAGGCTGATCAACATTGGCAGCTGC